GTTCAGCTCACCCAGGATGTTGCTATTAAAACCCACCCAGTGGCAGAGAATCCCAAAGGAGCAGCAAAACTTACCCAGAATGGTGTTTCCCCCCTCTTTTTTGGACAATTCACCACTTTATTAACAGAAAATAAGAAAAAAGACCAAACACTACAGTTTTTAACAGCTTAACGCTTAATTGACTTGCCTGTTAAATACCTGGTTACCTGTGCTGGCTCGGGAATGTGTTTACAGTCTGGTGAGTGTTGTTTCCACCTGGAGCACGGGGAAGTGGTGAAACACGGAGCGATCCGGAGGTGGAAATTCCTTTGCGCTGACTCCACGGCCGCCTGTCCCCCCCAGCCGGGCCCCAGCAGCACCAAGAAATGTCTGTTTGAATCTCTAATCAGAGAGGTTTGGGAAAGGCATTGTTCCCTCAGTCTTGGGAGCCACGCTAGCAGCGAGTTAAATATTTATTTGCCCCTGGAAGGTTGGAGCCCCTCGTGTTGCCGCGTTTCTCCACGGGTTTGTTCATGTCAGGCTCCTGGGCAGCTTTGGGACAAGGGTTTTAAACACCCAGCTCCTCCAGATGTGCTGAAGAGGTGTTGTGTTCTTGGTCAGCTTTGGGACAGGGGGTTTGAACACCCAGCTCCTCCAGATGTGCTGAAGAGGTGTTGTGTTCTTGGTCAGCTTTGGGACAGGGGTTTTGAACACCCAGCTCCTCCAGATGTGCTGAGGAGGTGTTGTGCCTGTGCTGGGCAGCTTTGTCCTGGTCCATGGCCCCACAGCAGTTTTTGTGGTGTAGCATGGTGGCTTCTGCCCCTACCCAGAACAGCTGATCCTTTGTGCCCTTGCTTGGGTTTGTGGAGTTCCCGTTGGACTTTCTGTGAGTTGTTTTTTCCCCTGTGCTGATTGTCCAAAGCCCTTAACCAGAGGCTGGGGGCTGTGGCTGATCCTCCCCTGAGCCTCCCCACATGCTAGAGCTCCCAAAAGGCCACCTTAGAACCACAGAATATCCTGATTGGGAGGGACCCATGAAGATCCTTGAGTAGAAACACCCCAAAAATCCCACCCTGAACATCCCTGGGAGCGGTGCCCAAACGCTCCTGGAGCTCTGGGGCCAGGACCATTCCCTGAGGAGCCAATTTCTTTGTGCAAAAAGGGAAATCTCTGTCTGCCATGGCAACTGTTGGGGTCTGCAGACCTCGGTGGAGAAGGGCAATGAGGTGCACAAACTTATTCAGTGCTGGCCTGCAGTGAAAGCACAACGTGGCAGCAAAAACCCAAACAAAACCTGTATTTCTGGCCCATCTGAGTGACATAACCTGGAGAAACAGTTGTAAGAAACCACAGTGAAGATACTCTGGAGAGGTTTTTACACAACTTGAGGTGCTCTCTAGCATGCAGACTTTGATAATGTCATGACATCTGTTCAGGATCTTGGGTAATGAGGATTTGCACAAAATGGTGATTGAATTTCTGGTCTTGAGTGCTTAATGGAAAAAGAGCTGTTGCCTTGGGTGCTTTGCTTTCTTCGAGCTGTCTTTGAGACATCAAAAGCTGGCGGAACAGGAAAAAGAGAAACGTTAAGAACGGTTTTAAAATAGTTTAATTGTATCTTCTGAAAACCTTTGGAGTGGGGACTTTAGGCGGTTTCTGCCCTGTGAATACTTGCAGCTGAGTTCAAAATGTGTAAATAAGCAGAGGGCTTTGAAGATTAGTTTCCATAACAAATTAAATAAAAATATTGTGTGACAGAATGTTAAGTAGGTGCCATGTGTCACCGGGTGCTTTGCATTAGGGCTGGCTTTTCCCAATTACCTGGCTGCTCCTTGGAAAACAAATGCTGTCTTTTGGATACTTTAAACTTTGTAGTTCTTGAGCATGAAAGAGGCAGGGGAAAACTCCCTTTGTGAGGAAACTGGTGAGGAACAGTGGGAATTGTGCTGGCAGCACTCGCCCTCCAGCTCCCACAAACCATTCCTGCTTCTGCTTCAGTGCTTTCAGCTTTTCAAGCTGACCCTGCTCCAGGGAGGAACCAACCAGAGCAGGATTCCTTGCAGGACATCTCTGTCTCAGGGCAGGTGTGGGAGAAACAGCCCAGGCTTTCCCCCTGCTCACAAACCTTGATATTCCAGGCTGGAATTAGTAAGTTTGATAGTGCTTTGGACTAAATTCTGGAATTTTCTGTTGCAAATATTTCTAATAAACTGCAGCCAGGACACCTGTTGCTAGGCTGTGTTCATCTGTGTATAACCATTTAAAACATCCATGTATAACCTGGCTTTTAAAGCAAGCTTCCCATTTTATATTGAGTCTAATGCAAGGTGTTACCTGCAGGTTGCTGTTTGGCTATTGCATTTCAATCAAGTACTGCTTGTGACAGGTTCACAAAATAAGACCTGTTGCTAGAAAAGGGCAAAAAGTTGGAAAAAGAAATTAATTTGAAACAAATTCCTGTGCTTTTTGTAATGGATGAGCAATGCACAGAGAAAACACCTGCACTGAAGGACTAACACAGAAGCAGTAAGATATTTGAGATTAAATTGTCCTTGTGGTAGAATTTCAGCTTTATACGTTTCATATTTCTTCAAGGGATTTATCAGGCTGGAGCAGACCAGAGATTGCTCATCTTTACTACCTCATCTAGTCCTGCTTATTCCAAGAATGGCATTAACAGCTTTAGCACACTTAATTCTGCAATCTCCTAACATGGGGCGGAAGGGGATTTTCTTCCTAACACAGCTGGGGGTTGGATCATCCAAACATGTTGTGCTGTGGCTCCCACATGCTGCTCCTTTGGCTGGATAAAACTTGACCACATTCCACTGCTGGTCTGCTCAGGTGCCTTAACCAGAATTTAGAGATAATATTTCACCTCTGGACATCGCTGGGTCAGGATAAAATAAATAATAAATTAATTAATAAAGCCCCTCATGTCTGGACAGTGAGTATTGGACAGAAAGCTGGGGAAATGCTGAGGCAGGTGGTGTTAATTCAGGATTTATTGCTGTCTCCCTTCACCAAGGGGGCTCAGGCAGGGCATCAGGAGCTGCTCAGGTGTTCCCTCAGACAGAACACTGGTTTGGTGAGGACAAGAGGTATCTTGATCCACATCTTGGCAAGTCACAGCTGCATCTTAAAGGCTGTGAGGATAAATCCAGGTCCCTGTCCCCCATCTAAAGCTGTTCTTCCTGGTTCTGAAGCCCTGCTTGACATTGGTGTTGGCTCTCGGGTTGCTGATTTCAGCTCTGTTCTCTTTCCTGACACGGAGCTCTTGGTGTGTTCTGGGTTACAGAGTTGGGTTTGATAGTTTCAGCCTCCTCTGAACCTCTCACACTGAGCGTGGAGATGCTGAGGGGCAGGACTGGCCTTCCCCTGGAGCTTCCCTGGGTTTGTTCATCCTGCCCCCCTGCTCCTCCCCGAGCTACTCACAGTGTTTGCTCTGCTTGGTTTGGAGTTCACAGCCCAAACTGCTTGTTAAAGCTGTTGTGGGGTGCTAAGTGATGAGTAATTAAAAAGAAAACCATAAAACCCTCAAGCAATAACACTTGTGGGTGCCCTTCTTTGTGGACTTGTTGGGAGAGCTACTGAAGAACTCGTGTTGGTGCCAGGGCTTCCTCCAGGAAACCAGGGACAGGGTGATAGACAGATGGGAAGCAAATCCTGGTAAAGATGGAGGGTTGTGTAAAAGTGCTGTTGGACACGTGTTATTTGCAGTACTGCTGTGGGAAACTTCATTTCTTTAAACTGAGGAACGAGAATTTTCTGGCTGAAACTGGCTGTGCCAGGCTGGGAAGCTCTTGGTGTGGAGTCTCATCACTCCTGAGCTTCAGAAATGACACCAGAGCCACCAAGGCTCTCCTGGAGCCTCGTAGTGCTGGGCTGAGGGAGCAGGAAAACTCAGTTTTCTTCTTTTGAACATGAGCATTGATGAGTTGTGAGGATGAATGGTAAGACTCCTCAAAAACGTTCTTAAAATGTGGAATTTGCACTGAAAACTGGAGATGAGGCAGAATTTACACAGAAAGCTGGAGATGAGGCAGAATTTGCACTGAAAGCTGGAGATGAGGCAGAATTTGCACTGAAAGCTGGAGGAGATGAGGCAGAATTTTCTCTACCAAGTGGAGATGAGGCAGAATTTGCACTGCTAGGTGGAGGATTTAAGGCATAATTTACACAGAAAGCTGGTGGAGATGAGGCAGAATTTACACTGAAAGGTGGAGGATTTGAGGCAGAATTTACACTGAAAGCTGGAGATGAGGCAGAATTTACACTGAAAGGTGGAGGAGATGAGGCAGAATTTGCTCTACCAAGTGGAGATGAGGCAGAATTTGCACTGGTAGGTGGAGGTGAGGCAGAATTTGCACTGCATGGTGGAAATGAGGCAGAATTGACTCTGAAAGGGGGAGATGAGGCAGAATGAAGCAGAATTTACCCTGAAAGCTGGAGATGAGGCAGAATTTACACTGAAAGCTGGAGGACATGAGGCAGAATTTTTGGAGATGAGGCAGAATTTGCACTGATTTGCACTGCTAGGTGGAGGATTTAAGGCATAATTTACACAGAAAGCTGGTGGAGATGAGGCAGAATTTACACTGAAAGGTGGAGGATTTGAGGCAGAATTTACACTGAAAGCTGGAGATGAGGCAGAATTTACACTGAAAGGTGGAGGAGATGAGGCAGAATTTGCTCTACCAAGTGGAGATGAGGCAGAATTTGCACTGGTAGGTGGAGGTGAGGCAGAATTTGCACTGCATGGTGGAAATGAGGCAGAATTGACTCTGAAAGGGGGAGATGAGGCAGAATTTGCTCTACCAAGTGGAGATGAGGCAGAATTTGCACTGAAAGCTGGAGGACATGAGGCAGAATTTTCTCTACCAAGTGGAGATGAGGCAGCCCCTCCATGGCTGCCCCTTGGCGCAGGAAGCTGCCAGGACAATTCGGGGCAGGTGTCACCTCTGTCACCCCTGGGGCCACACGCGGGCAGGCTCTGTGTGACTCTCCCCTGTTCTCCCCAGTGTGCCCCCCTGCCTGCAAGTCGCAGGGCTGCACGGCGGACGGGCAGTGCTGCCACAGCGAGTGCCTGGGCGACTGCACGGAGCCCAACGACCCCGGCAGGTGCGTGGCCTGCCGCAACTTCTACCTGGACGGGAGGTGTGTGGAGAGCTGTCCCCCCGGGCACTACCGCTTCGAGGGCTGGCGCTGCGTCACCTTCGCCTTCTGCCAGGAGCTGCACAACAAGTGCAAGAGCGCGCGCGAGTCGGGCTGCCATGTCATCCACAACAACGAGTGCGTGCACGAGTGCCCCTCGGGGTACATCATGAACTCCAGCAAGTGAGTACCCACCTGGGCTGCCGGGGTGAAAAATGGGCTTTGTTCCTCCTTGGGTGTGGGGTTTGAGTGCTGTGTCAAGACCAGGAGGCTTGCGCCAAAGATAACACAGGAACAGGTGAGAGGCAGGGTTGTAGGAAGAGCAATCCTTCCTACAATCCTCTTGTTCAAGAGAACCACGCGGTTCATACAGAGTGCTGCAATACATTCTATTTGATTGGCTAGCTAACAAAAACATCTTCCCCATGCACCATCCTTGAGAAGAACAGACAGACGAAGTAGAAGAACACCACCTGCAGATTGTTTATTCTTAACAAGTTATCACATCCTTACAACTCCCTAAAAATTCTCTCAAGCTGCTGTGAGAAATGCTTGCTGTTTCTCTCTCTGTGCCATGGCATCCACACAGGAGGAGTTTCTAGTGTTGGAGCAATCACCTGGTCTGCTTTAATATGATTTACAAACTAATACCTTGCTAATTCAAGCCATTAAAAGCTCTCCCTGCCATGGGCTGGTGGTTTATTCTTCCCTTGCTTCCTGTCAAGTTTGGAAAAAGTGGGAAAGGGAGATGGAGAGAGGACGAGGAAGAGCATCCACAAGCTGGAATGGCGTGGGCAGTGGAGAGGCTTTAGCAGCCCTGCTTCCCTCCCCTCTGGAGCAGCCTCAGGCCAGGGAACCAGGCTGGAAAAGCACAGCAGGGAGAGGCCGTGGCTAATGAAGAGAGCACAGCGTCCTCGGAGTGCTCGTTCTCAGAATATCTGTCCCCCATCCCTGTAATTACTTTCATTGAGCAGGTTCAAGCTGTGCCAGACATAAACGCACAATGTAACAAACAAGTGTAGCACGAATCAAAGCAGGGAACAGCCATTCTGTCTATTCCCAGGGGGTTTTGACAAAGGAATTAAATAATTTATGGTGCTGAGCTGTTTATCACTGAAAACTTGGTTGTTTGTCCCATATTACCATTCTATATTGTGGTGAGTCAGAGTTCCTATGAATATTGGTCACTTTGTGCTTGCATGTATTTGCTCCTGCCATAGTAATTTCAGGGAATTCACTCTTAACAGGACTTTTTCTGCCATTTCCTGTTTTGCTTCTCCAAAGAACCAACAAGCAGCCCCCAAAGTAGCTGTGCTGCTTGTGCAACAGCCCCGTGGCCTCCCCTGTGCTGTTCCAGGCTGCTGCCAGTGGGACCTCACAGCTCTGCTCCCTGCTTTTCCTAGAGCATTTCTTTCTCTGAACTAGTTGGGAACACATTCTTGTGGTGGTGTGACCAGGGCAAGCCATCAGCTCGTGCTATTTAAGCAGTATTTCCCCAGAGCACAAAGCACATTCTTGCCTTTTTTTAAAGCAACATTGTGTGCAGTCCTCAATCAGAGGATTCACAGATGCAGGGCCAGCTCTCCACTCATCAATTACACGTTTGGTTAATGATTTTGAGATGAGTATTGGGCTGGGATTTGTTATCTTGAAAGCCCTGGGATGGGGAGCACTGGGCAGCATCGTGGCCAGTTTCCTCTTCACAATAATTCAGGTCACTTCATTTTGTTTTGTAGGAAGGGATGGAATGATGGTTTGAAGTGTGGAAGTGACAGTTTAAGACCGTTTAAATTTATCAGCAGTTATTTTCAAGGCCAGGTTGGATGGGGCTTGGAGCAACCTTTTCCAGTGCAAAATGTGGAAAGGGGTTGGAATTGGATGAGCTTTAAGATCCATTCCAATTCCATGATTCTGTGCCTCTCTTTGAAGTTCCTAAAAAGCAAACCAGATGACATATCATCACTTCAGATTGATCCCTCAGCTTTCGGGCACTGCTGGGGCCATCCTGCCTGACCTTGCTCCCCTCCTGTGCTGTTTTGCAGCCTGCACTGCACGCCCTGCGCTGGGCCCTGCCCCAAGGTGTGTGACTTTGGCAAGGAGAAGACCATCGACTCGGTGACGTCGGCGCAGGAGCTGCGGGGCTGCACGGTGCTCAACGGCAGCCTGGTCATCAACATCCGCGGGGGAAGTGAGTGGGCAGCCAGGGACACCCACCCCCTGCCTCTGACCACCCTCAGGGGCACCCAGAGAAACCAGGACAAAGCAAAGGCATTAACTTGGTTGTTTTTGTTAATTGGTTTATGCCAGTTCTCCTGGGCAGGGGGCAGCAGGGGCTGGCAGCCAGGGACCCCCACCTCCTTGCCTCTGACCGCCCTCAGGGGCACCCAGAGAAACCAGCCCCACCCAAAGGCTTTAATTTGATTTTTTTTATGCGAGTTCTCCTGAATTAACCAGTTTTTGTTAATTGGTTTATGCCAGTTCTCCTGGGCAGGGGGCAGCAGGGGCTGGCAGCCAGGGACACCCACCCCCTGCCTCCTGACCACCCTCAGGGGCACCCAGAGAAACCAGCACAAAGCAAAGGCCTTCATTTGGTGGTTTTTGTTAATTGGTTTATGCCAGTTCTCCTGGGCAGTGGGCACCACGGGCTGGCAGCCAGGGACACCCACTCCCCTGGTTCTGACCCCCTCAGAGGGACCCAGAGAAACCAGCACAAAGCAAAGGCCTTCATTTGGTGGTTTTTGTTAATTGGTTTATGCCAGTTCTCCTGAATTAACCAGTTTTTGTTAATTGGTTTATGCGAGTTCTCCTGGGCAGTGGGCACCAGGGGCTGGCAGCCAGGGACACCCACCTCCTTGCCTCTGACCACCCTCAGGGGCACCCAGAGAAACCAGCACCAAGCAAAGGCTTTAATTTGATTTTTTTTATGCGAGTTCTCCTGAATTAACATGAAGAAATTAAATATTAATGTTTATTAATTGTCGCATTCACATTCTCCGGAAAAATCCCTTTACCTGGGATTTTTCTCCTGGGAAGCTGAGAAGCCTCAGAAAAAGGAAAACAATTCTTACCTCATTTGCTTCTCCTGTGTTTTGCTCATGTGGAATGTGGTTGGGGATTGTTTACCCACAGGTGATTGTTTAATTGGTTTGTGCTGTGAGTTATTTTTACTCTTTGGCCAATCAGTGCCAACCTGTGTCAGGACTCTGGAGAGAGTCTCAAGTTTTTCATTATTATCTTTTTAGCATTCAGTAAGTATCCTTTCTGTATTCTTTAGTATAGTATAGTATTCTTTAATATAATATAGTATCATAAAATAATAAATTAGCCTTCTGAGAACATGCAGTCAGATTCATCATTCTTCCCTGCCAAGAGGGTCTCAGCAAATACAATAATTAATATAATTAAATATTAATGTTTGGGCTTTAATTGTTTCATATTAATGCTAATTGTTTAATATTAACGTTAATGGTTTAATATTCATGTAATGTATGGATGTTTATCTCTGTGATATCAGAAAACTTCCCAATGTTTTTCTCTCTGTAGATAACATAGCAGCTGAGCTGGAAGCAAACCTTGGCTTGATAGAAGAAATCTCAGGTTACCTCAAAATCCGCCGCTCCTACGCCTTGGTTTCTCTTTCCTTTTTTCGGAAACTCCATCTGATCAGAGGAGAGACACTCGAAGCTGGGTGAGTTCCCTCAAAAAATGCTTTATTTGAATGTTTTGAAGTACAAGAGGTGCCAGTTCTATCAGGGTGATTTGTATTGGGAAACAATTCCCAAGTTATTTTTAAATGTTCCTCTGTCCATGGCTTGTGCCCTCCCCGGGCAGACAATTTGCATTTATTTTTCTTTGGTGTCTGGATTAGTGCAAAAAGAGTTTTCCATGCATCCCCTCCCAACCCATGTTTTCATTCTCCTGCTTTCAGGAATTATTCCTTTTATGCCTTGGACAACCAGAATCTTCGCCAGCTCTGGGACTGGAGCAAACACAACCTCACTATTGCACGGGGCAAACTCTTCTTCCATTACAACCCCAAGCTGTGCTTGTCAGAAATCCACAAGATGGAAGAGATCTCTGGGACTAAGGGGCGTCAGGAGAGGAATGACATAGCCCTGAAGACCAACGGGGATCAGGCCTCGTGTAAGAGTCTCAGAACACAGCCTTGCTTCCCTTTCCCTCTGCCTTGCTCTCCTCATGCTCCTCTTTCTCCCAGCCCAGCCCATGATGTTTTTCTATGGCCTTTTCATGTCTTTTCATCCCTTTGGTAAAGCAGCAGGTGTGCCCCTTCCCTGTGCATTCACTGTCACTGTGCCACGAGTAAAAGTCCCCATGGCATCTCCCTCTGGCACGCTTGGTCCCACAAAACTCTGGGAGGTTTTTGGGGCTGGGAGTGTATTTATTGTGTCTTTTTGAAGAGTTTGGCACAGTGTAACCTCGGCCCAGGCTGAGACTTTGTGTTACTGCTGAGTACCTGATTAATAGTCATAATCTGCTTTTCCCATGTCATGAGGCAACATGGAATAAACACGGGAGAAACAGGATTTCCACCCATCCCTATGGCCATGTGAGGCAATTGCCATGACAACAGGCAGAGAAAAATTTTCCAACAATTTTTGCAATGCCTCTCTGAGGTTTTTCATCCAACAGCTTTCTTCAGGAGCAATGATCAGCAGGTCCTGTGTCAGCAAGCAGCACAGGGTGGGCTTTGAAGTTGTGCTGCTGAGGGTGGGGTTCTGCAGACACTTATTTTGGCAGCAATACTGCAAGAAATGCAGTCCTTCTGCACCCCCAGTCCTGCTGTTTGTTCCCTTTCAGTGGTACCAGCAACCCCTTTTCCCTGTTTGTACCAGGGCTCTGTGCTGAACCAGGTTGTGGAAGTAATCAGGGGTAGGAAAAACCCAGCTTTGTTCTGAGCTGGTGGTGTCTCTCTGCTCTGATTCACTGCTCAGCCCCACAGAGATTCACCTGCACACAGGAACAGGAGCACGTGCAGGTGGTCATGGGCCCCTTGCAGCTCAGGATATTCTGTGCAGGACATGGGGACAGAGGCAGTGACCCATCCATGCAGGTATTCCAGCAGCTGGGAGATGCTTGGGCAGGTATTGCCACCAAAAAAGCCCAGCATGGACTGAACTGGGATTTCAGGTCCTGGCTCACAATCTGCAGGGCAGCTTGGGACCTCTGCTTTGGGGACAGCACTGCCAGAAGAGCCCAAGGTCCCTTCCCACCCAAAACATTCCAGGATTTTGTGATCTCTGGTCCTGTCCTCGTTGCCCCTCGTTGATGTAGCTGTTTGTGAGCAGACCTAAAAAGTGAAGATCTTTCAGTTGACTCAGTTTCCTGGTCTGGTTTCCCACATATCAACACAGGCAGCCAGGCCAGCACAGTGGGAGAGGGGAATGCAATGGCTGTGACCTGAAACCTGGCAGGGACAGTGAAAAACACACACGGAGCCTCTGGGGCACCACAGCTCCAGCCTGGGCAGAGGGAAGGAGCACAAGGAATCAGCTGTCTCTAAAGTTCATCTCCTCCCGTGGGACACTGAAAAAGTCTTCCCACACTGGGGATGAACCTGAATTTGGGTAGATCCAGCTCTGCCTGTGGCTCCTGGGCTGGTGTTTGGTGTGAAGGCAGCTGGAGGAGACAGTTGCATTTCTCTTTACCCTCACCCTGCTGAGCTGGTGTCTGTGCCACCCCCACCTCAAACCACAGCTTGCCAGGTTGTTTGGCTTTTTGTTTGCTTTTACATTTCAAGCTCAGCTTTCACACTGGCAGCATCCTGTTTACTGAAAAAGAAAAAATATAAAGGGGGGAAAAAAAAGCACCCCTGTTTGTTCTGGATGTGGTGCCAGTGAAATAAATGTTCTTCCTCCTGTTGCAGCTACTGCAGGAATAGCAAATTCAGTCAGAGCCTGACTGGGGCTGGGGGCAAAAGCATGTAGTACCATGTCCCTTGAGCTCCATCCTCCTGCAAACACCCTCCTGTTTGCAGAGGGACCTCACTAGTCCTGGGCAGGGCTGGAAATTCTTCTGCTTCGTTTCCGTGGCCTCTTGCCTTCTGTGCAAACCATATTGTTGGGTCAGCTGTGCAGATCATCATCAGTTGTGAAATGTGTTGCCTTTAGGTTTCTCACTTTTTAGAATTTAGTTCAGCTCTTCTACAGAGTCATTTTCATGGAATCATAGAAAAATTTAACCTTAGGAGGGCATCGATACCAGCCACTGATTTGAGGTAGGAATGGCTGCCAAGTGAGATAAGGTTTTACTGGGCAGCTCTTCTCAGTGCCAACATCCTCACATTTATCTTAAACTTCTAAGAAAATTAAAAACAAGATTTTAATTTTGTTTGATGCTTAATTTTTCAGCATCAATAAAACTACTGTCACTTCTCCCTTGTTACAGGTGAAAACGAACTGCTGAAATTTTCTTCCATTAGGACTTCTCATGACAAGATCCTGCTGAAGTGGGAGCCCTACTGGCCCCCTGATTTCCGTGACCTCCTGGGGTTTATGCTGTTCTACAAGGAGGCGTAAGTGATCCCCTCAGGTCACACAGCAGTGGCCTTGCTGGGCTGCCACCAGCAGCAGCTGGCATTCAGAGGTGGATGTTAAACCTGCTGGATGTTTTTGCTGTAGGCAAAGCTGTTTAGTCTCTGATTTTGTGGCTCCCACACTAAAGTTTCCGGTGATATCCTTCTATAAAAGCATTCATTAAGATCCCTGACTTGTGCACAGTCACAATTCCTCATTAAAGAACAATCCAGACTTTAGTTATTCCTGCTGTTCTAGACACACATATTTGAACCATGGAGTTTCTCATCTCCCCACTATCTCTGTGGAATACTGAGAGTTTTCTCCTTCTTGGGGTGGGAAAGATTCTTTTAGAATCAAGGTAACCAAGCTGATTTTCATAAAGCTAACAATAATCAGTCTGGATTTAGTTGTTGGGGTCATGTGTGGCACAGATCCTACTCTGTGATGCTGTTGGAGACCCAGGTAACAAAGCTCCCAATGCCTCCCTTTCAGAATAAATACCATGAGATGATTTTACTTTCTCTGAAAGGTGATAACTTCCAGTGTGTCTTTAGAAATGTTTTTAAGAGCCTGATTGAGGATTCTGTTAATTGGAGCCTTCTCTTTCCTCAAGTCCCTACCAGAACGTGACGGAGTTCGATGGCCAGGACGCCTGTGGCTCCAACAGCTGGACAGTTGTGGATGTTGATCCCCCACCACGCTCCAACGAGCCCAAAGCCCAGGCCCAGCCAGGGTGGCTCCTGAGGGGCCTGAAGCCCTGGACACAGTATGCAGTGTTTGTGAAAACCCTGGTCACCTTCTCGGATGAGCGGCGCACGTACGGCGCCAAGAGCGAGATCATCTACGTGCAGACCAACGCCACGGGTCAGTGCAGCACCCTCCTGGGCTAAAACCAGGCCTGACTAAGTCTGTCTGGGGGTTTTCCAGGAAACTTACCACTGCCCTGCTTTGGTAGGGAGGAATTATCCAGGAAAGCTCCCACTGCCCTGCTTTGGCAGGAGGGAATTCCTAAACCAGAGGTGTGATTCCAGATGGTGCCAGTGGGCACCCCTTCTGTCCAGTTTGTGTGGCCTTGTTGAGATAAGGCTGGAAGAGACCTCCAGGATGGTCCAGCCCAGCCTGCTGGGTGCCAGGGAATGCTTGATTGCCATAGAAATTGAAATTTGCCTGTGCTGGTGCCTGCCTTGCCAGGCTCTGAGGCAGTGCAGTGACCGCTGTCTCTCCCCCACCCCGCAGTTCCGTCGGTCCCGTTAGATCCCATCTCTGTCTCCAACTCCTCATCCCAAATCATCCTCAAGTGGAAGCCGCCCTCGGAGCCCAACGGGAACATCACACACTACCTGGTGTACTGGCAGCAGCAGGCAGAGGACAGTGAGCTCTATGAACTCGATTACTGCCTGAAAGGTGAGTGGGTGCTTCTCCCTCCAGGCCTTTCCCTCAGTCTCTCCCAGAACTGGAGTTTTGCCTTGGGGATGCTCTGGGGTTTTTGTCTTGGGGATGCTCTGTGGTTTTTGCCTTGGGGGGGCTCTGGGGGCCCAATCCTCCTGGATTCAGGATTTTCTGGAATCAGCTCTGTCCCTTCCTGTTCTGTTACGTTAAGTGCTGCTGCCAAGGTATGTGCAAAAGGTCTAAAAACATTCTTTACAAAGTAATCACGTGTTTTTTCCTTTGGGGAATTTCCCTTCTGCCCTCACTCCTTTTAAACTGAATTATAAAATTAATATCAGCAATGGAGATAGTAAAGTTGAAAATTCGGGTGCTGCTGGAGCTCAGGGCCATGTTAATTTCTGAAGGCAGCTGGTGCCTGGTTTGGAATTCCTTGAGACCACAGAATTTCACTGAGGACTTGCAAAATCTCATCTACTGCTCTGTGTTACCTGAACTGGGATAAAGCAGCATCCAAACTCCATTTCAAAAATAGCATTTTTGAATTAAAGGCCTGTCAGAAAAGAGGGAACTGCTCAGCCCTGGATGTGAAATATGAGCTGCCCAAATGTGCCATGAATCCTGTGTACACTGGTTTGGGATCTTTTTGTAGGATAAACATCTTCTGCCAAGACAGGCACAAGTGACACTAAAACTGTTTTGTCCCCAGGATTAAAGCTGCCCTCAAGGACGTGGTCTCCTCCTTTTGAATCTGAAGACCCCCAGAAGTATAATCAGAGTGAAGCTGAGGATGTCAGTGGGGAATGTTGCTCCTGTCCTAAAACAGACTCCCAGATCCAGAAGGAGCTGGAGGAGTCTGCTTTCCGCAAGACCTTCGAGAATTATCTCCACAACGAGGTTTTTGTGCCCAGGTGAGAACATCAGACAGGACTGTCCAGGGGTCAGGGGCAGGGAGATGTAATTGAGGATTAAATAAAAATACCAGGTTGGACACAGCCACGTTGCCAGGCTTCCGTGAGCCTGTCTAGCCCAGCTGGATATGGGTCTTGGAATGGGGAGAGCAGAGCACCTACCACAGATGTTCCTGCAGATTGGGAAGCTCCTGCTTTCATTTCCTGTCCCTAAATTCTCCTCAGCTCAAGAATAAAGTGAGAATCCTTAACAAACAGCCTGCAGCTCGTCTGGCATCAGATGATGCCAAAAATAGCGATTTTCTTTTCCTGTCTTGAAATTTTGTGGTCAGGTTTTTCATTGAGTTGAAAAGAAAGGAGAAGGGCAGTTTACCAGGCCACAGCCTCGTCCTTCAGCGTGGTATTTGTGGTCTGCCTTCACTTAGTGTGGGAAATACCTCCAATACCATGAGGAATGTGAGTGCTGTGGGTGGTGAATGTCCTGTTTGCAGTGGCACACTTGGTGTCACATTAAGTGGTGTTGAATGTCTTCACACTTCATCTGCAGCCTGGGGAGGAAGTGCTGGGGAGCAGGGTAGAATCTGTGGTGATTTACCCTCTTCCCTCTCATGCCTTTTGTGCTCTAAATTTATTCTCTGCTTGCTGCCCTCAGCCAGCAAACCTGCATTTGCAGCTGCCTGACAAAAGCTGGGTCACTGCACTGAGCATTTTCCCTGTTAAAGCATCCCTGGAGTTCCCTGCCCTGGTGCCTGCAGTCCTCACCTGGAAGCTTGGGCAGAACCCCTCCTTTTGCTGGTCCCTGGCTCTTGGTGCCCATCAGGATGAGCTCCAGTGTGCCACAGGATGCCAGGACATGACATATTCCAAAGCAGAGGAGAACCAAGCCATATGCAAAAGCCAAACTCCTGATGCAGGCAGACAATTCTGACAGTCTGATTTCTTTTTTCTTTTCCCCACCCCCAATTTTATTGTGCAGCCAGCCCAGGATGCTTCTCAGGCCAGTTTGTGGGCTATGTATTTTAGGAAGAAACCAATCACCAGGATGTGCCACCTTGTCAGCCTCCTGAGGAAAAAATCCCCACATCCCATGGCCAACTAATCCTCTAAAACAAGCCAGTGGTGAAGAGGCCTCCCTGCTGCCACGTGCCCTGCTCGTCTTCCCTGGCAGGCTCCAGGCTGTCAGCACATAAATCAGAATTCTTTTTCCTGTGAATACTGTGCTATCACCTGCTCACAGAACCTGGCAGGGAGCAGGGAGTGTGGTTTACTTCAGGTGCTTTTTTTGTGGCTCCTGGGAGTTCAGTGACCTCTCCTGAGGTGCTGTGTGGCCTCTCCTGGAGAGAGGGAGCTTGCCAGTCACGGGAGGAATCTCAGGGATGAGGCCAGCAGGGAACATGAGATGCCAGGGGAGCAGAATCCCAGCAGTTTCTCCCTGGTATCTTCTTGTTTTCCATGTGCCATTTCTCCCCTCCTGCCCTGTTCCCAGCGATCTGATCCCTGGGCAGGATCCAGCCTTAGTGCAGGGCTGATCTCACCCTTTGGAAATCACAGTTCCTTCCCACTGGGCACGTTGATTACCCACTCCAGGAGCCACTGTCACACCTCCTGGGGCTCAGTTTTCTCTGGCAGTGACAAAAAGCCAAACTAGAAGTTCAGGAATGTTCCTCTGCGCAGGCAGAGCTGGCAGTGGCTCACTCCAGGTCCCCTTTGGGGCTGAACAAAACGGCCATCTTTGTTTCTTTGATGCTTTTTCTTCTTTCCTGGGTTATCTGCTCTCATTTTGGAGGAGTTCTGCACGGGTTGGAGCTCGGGGCTGGTCACACCCTGGCACAGGCTGCCCAGGGATGGGTGTGTGGAGTCTCCATCCCTGGAGATCCCTCGTGGTCCTGAGCTCTGCTCCAGCTGCCCCTGCTTTGGGCCAGGGGCTGGGGTCAGGGAATCCCCAGAGGTGCCCTCCAGCCTCACCCCTCCTCGATTCTGTGGGAAGCAGGGAAAGATTCAGAAGTCCTGAGAGGCAGAGGGGAGCTCAGTGGCTGCTGCTCAGGGTGACATTCCAGCTATTTCCTGCAGCAAGAGCAGGAGCAGCCCCAGGTCTCTGTCCCTGTCCTCTGTCACACACATTTGTGCCATTCCCAATATTCCTGGGGAGCAAGATCTGAGGAATGACTCTCTTTAAAACTTATTGTTTCCCAATTTAGTTAATTGTACAGACAAATCTAAAACGCTTTTGCTGGGCCAGCTGACCTGGGGTGGTTTCAGGGGTGTGGAAAAGCGTGGCTTCAGGTGCCAAAAGCATTTTTGGAATCCCCCAGCACAGGCCATACTGTGTGTGCTGAGGGGTCACTTCCAGGCCCCCCATGTCACCTGTGAGGACAGGAGGAACCTGAGGGTTTCACAGGGAACTCCCTGGAGCTGCTGAGATGGCCTCAATGCAAATTACACTGGAACAACTCTGAGAAAATACAGAGAATTTGGCAAGAAAATTGCTGCAAATCCAGGATAATAAATATGGGAAGATTGGGGATTTACAGCTTCAAAAGCTTTTCTTAACTTTCTGTGACTTGAGAAGGAAGGAATTGCATTTTACTCCGTGTGGCATTGGTGGTCAAATTACTGTTTTACTTGTGAAAAACAAAATTCCCTTGAACATGAGGATCAGCTGCATTGACACTGGATAAACAGAGGGTGTAGCTTTGCTTTTATGCAAACCAGGTCCTGTTTGACCATGAGGAATCCTTCCCAAGGAGGGAGGTGGCGTGACCCAGTGCTGGCTCCCTGAACTCTGCCCCATCCTGAGGGGACACTGCTCACAGCACCACACAGGCTGAGGGAACAGCAGCTCCAAAAGGAGTTAATTAGTAATTAAGAAAGAGAAATCTTAAAGCTGGAATGTGCTTGCTGAACCTGCTGTTTGCCATCCTTATTTGTCATCAGGTGGATGAATATTCTGCAGGAAGGAATTCCTGGCTGGCAGGGTGGGCAGGCCCTGGCTTGGGGTGCCCAGAGCAGCTGTGGCTGCCCCCGGATCCCTGGCAGTGCCCAAGGCCAGGCTGGACAGGGCTGGGAGCAGCCTGGGACAGTGGGAGGTGTCCTTGCCATGGCAGGGGTGGCACTGGATGGGCTTTGAGGTCCCTTCCCACCCAAACCATTCTGTGATGATGACAACTCCATGAATATTTGTGTTGTGTTGTGTGCAGCTCAGTGTTCAGGTTGAGGACAGCTCAGACTCTGCTTTCTGGCTGGTGCCTTTTGCTGGAGGAGGAGAATGGCACCAGGGAGGGCAGAGGAAGCAGGGAAGGTGGCAGAGACCTGTCAGAGCAAATCCCTGCTGGGGCTGGGGCTGGCCATGGCTGCTAGTCAGAGGTGGCAGTGGAAAGTTCAGTTCAGCAGCAAAGATTTGCTTCAACAGCTTGTTACATTTTTAGAGCCTGGAGATGCCTCAAGTGTGGGTTCAGATCAGGTCACTCTTTGTACCCTTTAATAGCTGCACACACATGCACACACACACAAAAAGATCATCACCCCCTTAAAATACATGGTCTGGATTTCAACTGGCATTAATTCCTTTTGTGTAACTGAATACAGTTACTGATTCACCACCTTGGTTAGTTCCTGACCTGGCATTCCCCATGGCAAATGTGTGGCAGCACATAAGAGTGTTAGATTGAGCACTTTTGGCACTTTTGGTTTGGTACTTATCCCTTCTTTTTTTTTTCTTGCCAAGAAAATGAAATTTTTGAATGCTTCTTAATTCTGTTGAATTTATTCTGTTTATTTGCTGATAAAACCTGATATTAAAGCTGTCTGGTGGCACTCAGATGCAGACAGGGAAGGTGACATGGTCAGCTGCAGGTGCTGGTTTTACAAGTGAAAAAATCACATTTTCAGACTGAAATGCAATAACCTGAGGAGCAACATTCAGTTAACAAAACCACACAGTGAATAAATAATCAGAATCATGAGTTCTAAATGCATGCCTTGAAAAGGACTTCATAGGTTTGATCTCTTGGGAAAAGGTTAAAATTCCTTGTGTATCCATCGAGGTTCAGCCTTGGGGGTGAGAGTGGCAAATGTGTTCCAGAGAGCTGGGAGAGTGGCCTTTTGCTTTATAAATGTAAGTTAGTGACACTTGGGACATGTGGCACATCTGAGGTCACCGAGTGGGGCCGTGGTGTGACCTGGTGTGCTCGGGGCTGCAGCTCCAGGGTGGGGGCTGAACTCCAAAGCATTGCAACCCTGCCCGAGGCATCCGAGGCAACCTGGTAAAGTTAGACAGCTGAGAGACCCAGGGGAACTTGAATTCTCAAGTAAATACTTGAAGCTTGGATTGGTTTATTTTTATTTTGTCCCCCTGTGTGCAGTTGTGCAGGGAGAAGAGTCTGGGGGATACAAAATTTTGTAAAAATGTATGTCTTGGTTAAAAAAAAAGCTGAATTTCTTCATTGCTTTGGAAATATCAGGACATCTCAAACTCTGCTTTCTGGCTGGTGCCTTTTGCTGGAGGAGGAGAATGGCACCAGGGAGGGCAGAGGAAGCAGGGAAGGTGGCAGAGACCTGTCAGAGCAAATCCCTGCTGGGGCTGGGGCTGGCCATGGCTGCTAGTCAGAGGTGGCAGTGGAAAGTTCAGTTCAGCAGCAAAAATTTGAGTTTTGGGTTTTCAGTGGCACTCAAAGTCTGAGTTTTCAGTGGCACTCTGAGCTCTCCCATTTTGCCCCTTCCTTGCCAGCTGGAGGGGCTGACACTGACTGTAACACTGACGTGGTGACCGTGTTGTCTGACAGGCCGTCAAGAAAACGAAGAGACCTGGGCTCCGTGGCAAACGCCACCGTGGTGTTACCCACCATCCCATCCTCCCCCAACAATTCAGCAGCAGCTGAGGGTGCAGAGGAGCAGAAACCCTTTGAGAAGGTGCTGTCCAAGGAGTCCCTGGTGATCTCGGGGCTGCGCCACTTCACCGGGTACCGCATCGAGCTGCACGCCTGCAACCACGATGCCCAGGAGTCCCGCTGCAGCGTGGCAGCTTATGTCAGTGCCAGGACCATGCCAGAAGGTGATTCTGTCCCTGAGCCCTGCTGTGGCTTGGTGCTGCTCCCAAAATGCTGCTTGTCCCACGGGAGGCAGCTGCAATATGTAAGGACACCTTATGTCCATGTGGGAGAGGATGGATGAGGTATTGGCAGGTGTGAATTTTGCCCAAAGACATGAAACTAAACCTGATCTTGAACTTGGTTCTAGCTAAGGCTGATGACATCGTTGGCCCAGTGTCCCATGAGCTGGTGGAAAAGAACACTGTGCACCTCAAGTGGCAGGAGCCAAAGGAGCCCAACGGCCTCATTGTGCTCTACGAGGTGAACTACGGACGGCTTGGGGAGACCGAGGTGAGAGCTTCTGCTGTCACTCACAGCACCTTTGCTGGGAGCTTCTGCTGTCACAGAACCTTTGGTGAGAGCTTCTGCTGTCACTCACAGCACCTTTGGTGGGAGGTTCTGCTTTCACAGAACCTTTGGTGAGAGGTTCTGCTGTCACAGCACCTTTGGTGGGAGGTTCTGCTGTCACAGAACCTTTGGTGAGAGGTTCTGCTGTCACAGAACCTTTGGTGAGAGGTTCTGCTGTCACAGCACCTTTGGTGGGAGGTTCTGCTGTCACAGCACCTTTGGAGAAGTGGCTCCCCCTGGGAGCCCAGGCTCTTTAAGACCTGACAGTCCTTATGCATGCAGTGCCCTGACTAGTTGGGTTTCCTGGTGCAGAATTAAAGGAATACAAAAGTTCACTAGTAAATTTGTCTCCTCTAGAAGCCTGGGATGACATCAGGAAATAATCTGCCTCTGTGGTGCCCGTTTGCTCAGCAAGTTTAGCTGATTTGCCAGCTTTCTGCAGGGGGCCTTTGTAGAAACGTTATTTCACAGAGGGACAGAAACCCCACATTGCTGTGTCTCAGACAAAAGCCCTTAAGTTGCACTGGGGAGGTTCAGATTAGATACCAGAAAAAAAAAATCCCTGCAGGAGGGCTCAGGCAGTGGAATAAGTTGACCAAGGAGAGAGTGGAGTCACCATCTCTGAAGTGTTCAAGAGGTGTCTGAATGTGGCACCTGGGGACACGTTCTGGGGCTGATGATGGTGGTGCTGGGTTGTTGCTGGGACTTGGCCTTGAAGGTCTCTTCCAACCTTGATGTTTCTGTGATTCTGTGAAAATTAAGTTGCTTAGAGGAGTTAGGAAGGTATTGAGCAGCCCATGAGCTCTTGGGGACAGGGCTGGTGTCAGTGCCACGGGGACAGGGCTGGTGTCAGTGCCACGGGGACAGGGCTGGTGTCAGTGCCACGGGGACAGGGCTGGTGTCAGTGCCACAGGGACAGGGCTGGTGTCACTGCCACAGGAGCAGGGCTGGTGTCAGTGCTGTGGGGACAGGGCTGGTGTCAGTGCCACAGGGACAGGGCTGGTGTCAGTGCCACGGGGACAGGGCTGGTGTCAGTGCCATGGGGACAGGGCTGGTGTCAGTGCCAGGGGACAGGGCTGGTGTCAATGCCACAGGAGCAGGGCTGGTGTCAGTGCTATGGGGACAGGGCTGGTCACTGCCACAGGGACAGGGCTGGTGTCAGTGCCACAGGGACAGGGCTGGTGTCAGTGCCACAGGGACAGGGCTGGTGTCAGTGCCAGGGGACAGGGCTGGTGTCAGTGCCACAGGAGCAGTGGCACTCCCCTAGCAGGCCCAGTGTCAGTGCTGAGAGCCAGAGCAGCAGATGGCACTTGCTCTCTGTAACCTGACCTACTGCCCTGCAAAGCACAAATCCAGCACAAACTGCTAACCTGGAGCAGACTGAGAGCCCTTGGGTGTGTGTTTGCCAGCTGGGGAGGTGCTGCAGGAGCCCCAGGGAGCCGTCAGGGAGCTCTCAGGGAGCTCTGGATGTTACAGAAACCCCCAGGAGCTCTCAGGGAGCCCCAAGTGCTGCAGGAGTCCCGGGGAGCTCTTAGGGAACTCTGGTTGTCACAGGAGCCCCCAAGAGCTGTCAGGAAGCTCCCAGGAGCTGTCAGGGAGCCCTGGGTGCTGCAGGAGCCTCCAGGAAACTCTCAGGGAGCCCAGGGTGCTGCAGGAGCCTCCAAGAAACTCTCAGGGAGCCCAGGGTGTTGCAGGAGCCTCCAGGAGCTGTTGGGGAGCCCCCAAGAGCTGTCAGAGAGCCCCCAGAACCTCTCATGGAGCCCCAGGTGCCACAGGAGTCCCGGGGAGCTGTCAGGGAGCCCAGGGTGCTGCAGGAGCCCCCAGGAGCTGTCAGGGAGCTCCAGGAGCTGTCAGGGAGCCCAGGGTGCTGCAGGAGCCCCCAGGAGCTGTCAGGGAGCCCCAGGAGCTGTCAGGGAGCCTAGGGTGCTGCAGGAGCCCCCAGGAGCTGTCAGGGAGCCCCGGTGCTGCAGCACGGCCCTGGCACAGCCCTGTCCCCACAGGAAGCCCATTTCTGCGTGTCCCGCAAGCACTTTGCCAGCGAGGGCGGCTGCAGGCTGCGGGGGCTGCAGCCCGGCAACTACAGCGTGCGGATCCGCGCCACCTCCCTGGCCGGGAACGGCTCCTGGACAGAGCCCACCTACTTCTACGTGGCTGATTATTGTGAGTTCACTTCATTCTTACTTTTAATCCCGGGTAGAAACTCGGGTTATTTCTGGAGGATGGGGTGTAGCAAGCAGGGAGTCACTAAATGTTTACCAAATACATCGGTTGTCAAGAACCTGAAATTACTTGGAAACACATGGCTTTTGTTTGTTAGTCCTCATTCTGAGCAGCCCCACATTTTGCTCTGAAATAGCTTCTAGTTTGGTATTTGTTCCAGTTTATTGAAGAAAAAATTTGTATGTTGGACTTGTATAATACCTCCATCTCTCTCTTTCTCTCCTAGTGAATGCTCAGCCAAATATTGCTGTTATCATTGTTCCTATTATTTTTGCCATAATAATTGCTGGAATTATTGGAGCTGCTTATGTGCTTGTGAAAAAGAGGTGAGTACAGTTTTCACCAGAAACACCAAAACTTACATCCAAAAGTTTTGCTGCTTTGTTGGGAGTCAGTTTTTGTTTAGTTTCTAATTTCCATAGCGATTGCAGCATTCATTTAAGTGCAGGAAATAGTTTGTGCCATATGGGGACAGTTTATTTGCTGCATGCTTCGGGGATTGATCAAACTGCCCTCACCTCGAGGGTGTCAGAGGCTGCAGAGTGCTGAGGAATTTTTGTCTCTTGCAGACAAACCGAAGGACCAACAGGACCCCTGTATGCATCCTCCAACCCTGAGTACATCAGTGCCAGTGATGGTGAGAGCAACCAGGGCTTCTTTCTTGTGTGATCGTGCAGCCAGTGCAGCAGGGTGGGCTCGGGGTTGTCTTTGTGGGGTTTTCTGGTCCTTTTGTAGAATTCACCCCCCTGCAGTGCGGCAGCGCTACCCAAGGCTGCTGCCGGAGCGTCTTTCAGGAGATGCTCAGCTCAGGATGTTCCCCTGTGCCCCACAGTTTATGTCCCTGACGAGTGGGAGGTGCCACGGGACAAGATCACCCTCCTGAGGGAGCTGGGCCAGGGCTCCTTCGGGATGGTGTACGAGGGCATCGCCAAGGACATCGTGAAGGGAGAGCCCGAGACGCGCGTGGCCGTGAAGACGGTGAACGAGTCGGCCAGCCTGCGCGAGCGCATCGAGTTCCTCAACGAGGCCTCTGTCATGAAAGGCTTCAGCTGCCATCATGTGGTAAGTGCTGGGTGCCTCAGCACACAGCTCTCCAGTGCCTTCAGAGCCCGAGCCTCAGCTGGCCAAAGCAGCAGAGGCAGCTGATCCATCGGAGCGGGGATCTCTCCCTGCGGGATTCCACAGAACCTGTTCTGCCCAACTTGTTTCACTGCTGCTCTTTGTAAAACCTCTCAGCCTGACAAGGCCTTGTGGGGCTGTTCTCAGCTCTGCTGAGGGAATTTCTCACTCGTTTTCCAGGTTCGCCTCCTCGGAGTGGTCTCCAAGGGACAACCTACTCTGGTGGTCATGGAGCTGATGGCACATGGGGATCTGAAAAGTTACCTGCGCTCTTTGAGACCTGAAGCTGAGGTAAAGACAGGAGAGAGTGAGTCTCTTGTGGAACAGAATGACTTGATTTGGGGTTTAATACTTCTTTATTTAATGGCTTTAAGCTGAAAAAGGGTAGATCTGATGTGGTTTTGGGAAGACAGTCTTGGCTGTGAGGGCGGGCAGGGCCTGGCACAGGTTGTGCAGAGAAGCTGCAAGTGTCCAAGGCCAGGTTGGAAGGTTGGAGCAGGGTTCCCTGCTCATGGCAGGGACCTGGATGATGTTACGGTCACACCTAACCCAAACCCTTCTGTGACTGTGATTTTTCCTGGCAGAATAACCCCGGCCGGCCGCCGCCGACGCTGAGGGAGATGATCCAGATGGCGGCGGAGATCGCCGACGGCATGGCCTACCTGAACGCCAAGAAGTTCGTGCACAGGGACCTGGCAGCTCGCAACTGCATGGTGGCAGAGGACTTCACTGTGAAAATCGGGGGTAGGTGCTGCTGGTCCCTTCCAGCCCAGGCCATTCTGTGATCAGGAGATGGTTCTGTGCATCGTGTTTGTTGTAAAAGCAAGTTGATAAAACCAACGTGTCAAACACGGGTGATTCTCGCTGTCTGCCTCTGGGAAATTGCAGCACTTCCCTCTGTTTCTTCCCTGTGACAGAACTGTGTGGACTTCAGTAAGAACAAGATCTCCAGTAGAGCCAGAGTAGCTTTTCTCACCTTCTCTATTCCCAAACCTCTGTCCTGAAAGTTCGTTACCTTTTCAGCCTAAACTACCTGGGTTTGTTTCACTGGTCTTTGCTTCCATGAGAATTAAGACAAAAAAGGAATTGGGTACAACAAACCCAGTGCTGATAATCCTGTCATTGGGTCAGGTGGCTTTTAAAAGTAATTTAACCCAGTTTTTAACCCAAACTCTTTTAGTAATAAGTAAATACAACATTTAAAATAACCTGGAACCCCACAGAGTGGTGATTTTTCAGAGCTCTCTGGAATTAAAGCCAGGGCAGTGGGATTTCAGACAAAGGGAGCTCTGTTTTACTTACAGAGGATGAATAAAATAATGTTTAGAATAGAAGCTGTCACCAAAAAATTTAACTCTGGAGTCTCTGTTGTGACTGTAGAAAAAAATGCAGGGAAAGGGAAATATTTTGAACATTAATCACGAGGTGACAGATGACTGCAGGCTGGGCTTTGGCAGTGGGGGGACGGCAACATCCATCTGGAGATGTTGCACAGGATGGAGGGAGAGGCATTTAACACATCCCAATTGCTTCCCCTCAGACTTTGGGATGACCAGGGACATCTACGAGACGGATTATTACCGCAAGGGGGGCAAAGGGCTGCTGCCCGTGCGCTGGATGGCCCCGGAGTCGCTGAAGGATGGCGTGTTCACCACCTACTCCGACGTGTGGTAAGTGGTCCTCTGCCATCCCAGATGGATTCCAGCTCCTTGTTTTAGCACACATAGTTTAAACTGACTTGCTCGGAGCACAGACAAAACAAAGCCGTTGTTTTGAAACACTTCCATAAAAATATAGTCGTGTTCTTTAGAAGTTCGTTTTCCAAAATAACTCTGTCACTGGGAGGGCTCCAGGATGTTTTGTTCTCACCAGGAGCTTTCTCTCTCCCTTAGGTCATTTGGTGTTGTCCTTTGGGAAATAAGCAGCTTGGCAGAGCAGCCTTACCAGGGACTCTCCAACGAGCAGGTGCTAAAGTTTGTCATGGATGGAGGATACCTGGATCAGCCGGACAACTGCCCGGAGAGGCTGTAAGTGGGCAGGCAGGGACAACCAGCCCAGCTGCACTCTTTGCCTGAAGTGGGACCCACAAAGATGGCCTGACCTGGGGCACCTCTTCACCCCCCTCAGCTGGGGAGGACAAAAGCAGAGTTTAGTGAGGCACCTCCCTCAGAAATTCCACCAAATTATCCTTAGCGATCCAAGGAAGGGGCTGCCAGGGAGGTTTGGAGTCCCCATCCCTGGAGGTGTCCAAGGAAGGCCTGGATGTGGCATTCAGTGCTCTGGGCTGGGGACAAGGTGGGGGTGGGTCAAGGGTTGGACTTGATGATCTTGGGAGGTCTTTTCCAACCTCAGTAATCCTGGGATTCTGAGTGAGGAGTCACACTGGAGCAATTGTGAAGGAAAGCAGCTCTGGCTGGAAAAGGGAGCACAGATGGTAACTCTCTGGTTCTGGTAGCCTTTTCACCCAGCTGCTTCTGGCCAAAACAGCACTTCCAGAGTCATAAAATAAACATGTTTTGTGAGTATCCACATGAAAAAAGCCTGCTGTGCTGGACATTTGTCTGATGGCCAGTTACAAACTCCAGTTTGAGACTCTATTTGTATTTGTGAGTTCTTTCTCCATGGTGTTTGATAACGTGACCTCTTGCTGCAGCCTTTCTTTTGGGTGGGATGTTTACAGGACCTCTGTCCTCTGCCCAGCCTCCCATTTTCCTTGAAGTTTTGGGAGCTTTGTTATCTTTCAGGCTGAGTTAAAATTAAAAGGGAATTAATTAAAAAAGGATGACCTAGGCTGTAAGTGCATGTGCACACACACACACAGAGTCTGTGAACCACAGCCCTGTTTCCTTCAGCAGCCAAGTCAAGAACAATTGAAGGAATCGGAAGGAATTTTTAATCTAGACAGAAATAGAGAAAAAGGAGTGTCAGGATCTAGAGGCAGATGTGGAGGCTGGAAAGAGAACAAACAACCTGGGGTGTCAGTGGTGTAGTGTGGGTGGTGGGGGGCTGTGCCATGGGTGCCAGCCTTGCTCTGCACCCGGGATTGTTTCTGCTGCCCCTGACTGTGCTCTGTGCTGCTGCAGGCACAGCCTGATGCAGATGTGCTGGCAGTACAACCCGAAGATGCGCCCCACCTTCATTGAGATCATCGAGATGCTGAAGGAGGACTTGCACCCCAGCTTTCACGAGGTCTCCTTCTTCTACAGCGAGGAGAACAAACCTCTGGAGACAGAGGAGTACGAGATGGACTTCGAGAACATGGAGAGCATTCCCCTCGACCCCTCCTCGTACTCCCAGAGGGACAAAGTGCTGGGGAGGGACAATGGACCCTCCATGGCCCTCAAGGGCAACTACGAGGAGCACATCCCTTACACTCACATGAACGGTGGCAAGAAAAACGGGCGGATTCTCTCCATGCCCAGGTCAAGTCCTTCCTAACACTTCCTGTTTGGCCCAAGGGTTGTGTCTGCTTTTTTCCCCCCTCCACAAATCTCAGGACTCTTGTTATTGCTGCCACAGTGTATGACACACATCTACAAACTCTTCAGATTTTTAATCATCTTACGATTAATTTTTTTTTTTTTTTTGCCAAGTTGACTGGTTGTCAGTGGACTTCTCTGTGAACATAAATGGAAGAGGTTTCCATGGCTGCTGTCCCTTCTGTAACCATGGTTTCACAACAGGAAGCGACCGTGTGAGTTCAACTGAAGGAGAAGCATCCGCGTTTGCCAGCAGAAGACGTGAAGTTCTCTGCTGCCTGAGCTCCAGCCCAGCAACGCGGAACAAGAGATTTCCAGTAGAATTCCAGGCTTTCAGGCAGCCTCTCCACTACAGCTGAAGGATTCAGCACATCAGTCAGATCCTCAGATTGACCAATAGCTGCTGCTTTCATACTTTGTTTTCAAGGGGTGAAACCCCGGGGTGCGTGCGTGGGCGTGTGTGTGCGTGTGTGCAGTATCAACATGTGGGGTGTACCCTATGGCAAAAGAGACACTTCTGGTTTTGTGCACAACTTACAGCGCTTTCAGGCACATGGTGGGATTCTCGGGGTGTCCTGCACAGGGCCAGGAGTTGGATTAGGTGATCCTGGTGGGTCCTTTCCAACTCAGCATACTCTATGATTCTCTGTTCTCACAGGAGCTTTCCTCTTCTTGGAAGTGTGTACTTATCTTTTTTCCCCATTTCCCTGGAGGGACTGAATCCTAAACAGATTATTTTTATACTGAGGACTCTTGAGAGCAGGTTTTCTCTCATTAACAAATGAGGAAAACGTGCTGGGAGCTAAATGAGCAGAACTCTGAGATTTGTGGGTACTTTCAAGACCAAACGAAGTAGGAGTCCCCTGACCTGAGACACGGAGTTTTCTGTCCTTACAGCATTGAGTATATATATTGTTTGTTGTAACATATTTAAAGATGTCTTTAGTTTAAATTTTAACTTCATATAAATTATTGACTGTTTATGATCCTTTTGGGGCGGGGAGAGTTTTGGGGGATTGTTTGGTCTTAAAGTGGTCCAAAGATTTCAGAATGAACTAATTTTAGCCTTGCAGGAGCTATGAAGCACATGTTCAGTTCATACTTGACAAGGCTTTGTAATAGTTTCATGATTTATACGACACAGTCAGCTGGCTCCAGTCGAAGCCCCATGGTGGGTGTTGGGAGCTGAAGGACACAGAACATCCTGGCCTCAAGTCCTGCTCCTCCTCTGCCCCCGTGTCCCTCGCTTTGCCTTTGCCGCAGATGCAGCCGGCGAGAGAGGACGAGCACGAGCTGGAGCTGAGGAAGGGACACTGAAGGGGAGAAGCACAAAGCTCTGGGCTCTGCACGCCGGAGGTGACCGTGGTTTGCTGCCTCTCTGCTGCTCCCAGGCCTCCAGCTTGTGTTCCTCAAGATTCCCACTGCAGAGCTCCCGGGATGTCAGCGCTCGCCGTCAGGACTGTGCTTTGTCGTGCTGCAGTTTGCAAAGACAGAGCTGGTGTTGAAGAAAAATGGTGAAACTCAACCAGGGCTGGTAGCACGGAGCTGGTGGGAGCAGGGAAGGAAGATGATGGATGTCACAGGCCCGTGGCGTGCAGGAGGTGCTTGAACAGCAGGGAGAGATGCTCAGTCCTTCACTTCTCCTCCTGGAGAAGCCCAAGATGTGTTTTGTGCTCTCTGCCAGGACAAAGCGAGGTGCCCTGGCTGGGGAGGGCAGAACCCTGGGCTGGGCTGTGCCTCCAGCCCGGGCAGTGCTGCTGCTGTGAGCGAGGCACAGGGGCTGCAGTCTGTAGGGAGGAGCTCTCTGAGCCCACACCCGGGGATGCAGCTGGTGCTGGGAACCTCTGCCCCCAGCTGCTTCTGGCCAACACAGCACTTCAGATCATGAAAGGAGGGACAACAGACTCTGGGCAGCACCAGGAGCTGTTGGGCCCTTTGCTGCTGGAGGCTGATGGGTTTGGCCCAGGTGGAGGGTACAGGTTGCTCCACAAATTTGGGTGGAAAACACAGTCCAGACATGGGTGAGAACCTTTGGATTTCAAAAGGCCTCGTTTACATTTCTTCTGCTTTACAAAGTTGTAACTGTTTAGCAGCTCTATAGTACACTGCAGGAAAGAAGACATATTCTCACACTTTTCTAAGGAAGAGAAGTTTTTCTTATTAGAATTTTTTATTTATTTTAATATATAAAACACTGTAAAAAAAAAGCAACAAACAATTAGTTTTCTTAAACACACGGAACATGTAAATTTGTATCCACAAAATCTTGGCAGGTGGATGTGGTGGGATTATTTTTGTCCTGTTCTGGTGCAGTCTACCTCAGTGTTTCTTAAGGATGTTTTTTAATACTACACACCTCTAAACCTGTTTAAATATTCTGGTCTGGACCTATTGTGGATCAGGGAAAATCAGTATCAGCTGATTCCAATACCAGGGACCATTCATGAAGGGAATGGGAAGGAGAATGGCCCATCACTGTTGATCCCTAATCTGAACAGTTGTGGCCAATGAACCCATTTACAAATTTGGATCTGATCTCATCCCTTAGTTCTGCTGTGATTAAAAAAAAAAAAAATAGAACAAAAGATCCATTTAAATGTTTGGACTTTAGTGAACTCATGACTTAAAAGGAGCAGGCTGCTTCCTCCTGGATCAGCATGTGCCAGCGTGGAGCAGGGACTGGGACCAGCCCTTGCTGTTGGGGTTGCATTGGGGTGGTTTGGTCACTGCTCTTCTCACTGTGCACAGGTGACCCAAAGTCCTGCCAGTGACCTCCTGAAACAAACCTTTCCAGCACACCCTTGCTTTGATACCATTTCCAAGGGCAGTGATCATAGCTGTGGGAATAGAAGAACTTTTACCTGAAGGAACATTGGAACCTTGTATTGGGTCTGGCTTTTCCCCGTGGTTGATACTGGTTGGCCCTGTGAGTACACATGGTTTGAACACTCGGATGGCTGAGCCAGGGAGTGTGTGCTGCTCCATGGACAGGCAGTCCCCTCCCATGGCTCAGTGTCACCTTCACCCTGCACCAAACAGAGCAGTTGTTTGTACCCAGCACTGTGTGAAGGTTGCTCATCCTTCCTACCTTGTGCCCAGGGGGAGGGAAGGCGTGTGGTACCAGTGGGGAGGGTATTGTGTTTCTCCTCTGTACAACAAATAACACTAGTGGTTGCTGCTCGTGGCTGTTACAGATCACATTCAGCTGTAGAATTAGGAAGAATAAATGAACATCACCCGCAAAGCCCAGCTCTCACTGCTAGAAAATCCTTCCTTGGCTCACAGCCGACACTTGGTCTCTGCTGCTGGAAGATCCTCGCCCCAGGGATGCCCAGATGCCTCACTCGGATCTCGCTGATTCCTGCTCAGAGAATTCCTGCAAGTGGAGACTCAAGTGCTCTTGGAACCTCTGGGGTGCTGCCAGGGACCCCAGCCCGGGCAGGGCTGCTGTGCTCACCCTGCCTTGGGGAGCTGCTGCTCTTTGCTCCGGCCACATCCTTACGGGGCAGAACGGCCCAGCTGCAGTGGAAGCACCACACTTGCTGCTCCTGCTGCTGCTGCTTAGGAGGAACCAAACACTGGTGCAGGAGAGCAGGTCAGATGGCTGGAGGAGGGCAGCCAGCAGTGGGAAGCTCTTTCTTTCCTTGCATTAATATTTGCTGGAGGGTTGGCTCCTGCCCTTTTTGGGCAGAGAATGCCCCGCTCGCAGCACGGGGCAGCAGGACAGACCCCTCAGCCCATCCAGGAGCAGCTGGAGCCTCCTGGGCACAGTCTGGCACCATCATGTAGCCAGAAATTCACTCTGGTGAATCAGGAGGAGCAAGAAGTTGAGCTCTGCTGAGCTTTCACTGAGAAAATGTCTGAAGTGTGAGGCTGGAGAGGTTTCTCAGAAAGGTTTCCACATTAAACTCAATTGCCACTTCCTGAACGGCTCTTGCCAATCTGGAACTTCTCTGGCAGGCCAGCACAGCACTGCAAAGCTTGGCTGCTGGGTTAGGAACGTGTCTGTCTTGGCTGCTTGTAAATACTCTATTGTGTTGTAAAATAGAAGAGCTCAGACATAAACTCTGTGCCAGCACTGGGTTGGGAAAGGTGATGGGAACTAGACCACGCTGCAGCAATGATGGTAAAGCAGCTGTGTGGGTATGAAGAGGCTGCTTTTAGGTTGCTAAAGGGTACTCTTAACTTATGGGTAGTTTATCTCTTTCCTCCTAAATTTGTATTATAGCGATGGGACACTTTGCTTAATCCTAGTCTGTTGGTTATAGTGTTGGTATCTCTTTGGAAAAAAAAATCTCAAAAGTCGCTTCTTGTGTTACTGAGCTGACTGTGCTGAAGGCAAATAGGAAATGACAGGAGTGAGAAGGGTGCTGAGCCTCTGCTTTAGAGGAGGGAGGGAGGGAGGCAGTCGAGTTCCCTCTCAAAGCCACTGTGACACGAAGATGGACCCTGAGGTGTCTCGGGCCCTTCCTGCTACCAAGACTGGAACCTTGTTTTACAAGCCAGAACGTGAAATATCTTTGTGCCATAAAACCTTACTGTCAAGGCTGTGCCAGGTGCTCCCGTGATCCGTGTGGGATGGGCTCAGAGCCTGGAGGGAGCTCAGAACTGCAGATGAACCCTGTGATCCTCTTGGAGCCGGGGGCTCGCAGGAGCCCCGGCCCTGCCCAAGGAGCTGCCGCCCTCGGAGTGTCCTGTGGTCCAGGGAAAGGAACTGCTGAACGGGTTGGAATCAAGAAATAGTTACTTTGTGAAATTCAATGTAAGATTAGTTTGGTATTTGTATGAACTTAATGGAATTTGGCCTTTTTATTACCTTCTGCTTGGCTCTGTGTTCCTTCTGCTTGGATTCTGTCCGTGAGTGTCAGTGTAAAGCCTTGACGTGTTCAGCCTTGTTAGGAGCATCACAAGAGTGAAGCCAGTCATCCAACTGACTTTTGGAGGAACCTGACTGTTGAAAAGCAACTCTAAAGTTAACCATTTTTAGCAAATCTGCTGTCATTAAATGTGTATTTCGTTTTAAAATGAATTTGCTTGTCCTTCTCAGAAGGAAGCACTTATTCTTGCAGTTTGGGCAAATTCACTGCAGCACAATGCAAGCTGTAAGGGGACAGGTAGAGAAATGACTTTTTAAATATTGTA